ACTATAAAACATAATAGCTGTAAATAATTTCTATATTTCTCTTCTTCTCCGTCACCAAATTTTTTGTTTGTTAACCTCTAAGAAACTAACTTAAGAGAATACAAATGAATGACCCATGATTTATACACATGCTTAGCAATTAAAATTAAATAATCATGCTCAGTATTATTTATATTCATCGTATTCACATTGACTTATGGTACATGCCATCTAACAATATTAGATATTTTTATTCACCATACCAAAGTTTTAATCTTTTTTTCAACATTCAAAAAACATAATAGACTATAGTATACGTAAAAAATTACTTATATTTTATTTTTCTATACCATCACAAAATTTTAGGTTTTTCCCCACTAAAAAACAAAGTTAAAAGACTATAATCCATGACATATATTTCTTATAAAATAGGTAATAAATAAAATAAATAATCAAGCTAGAATTTATTAATATTTACCATAATTAACACTGAATTATGGTTAATTAGATGTAAACTTATTCAATATATTTCTTCTCCATAACCAAATTTCATCTTTCTTCGTCAGTAAGCCACAGAGTTAAAAGACTATAAAACATAATATATGTAAACAATTTCTAAATTTTTCTTCTTCTCCGTCACCAAAATTTTTGTTTCTTAACCTCTAAGAAACTAACTTAAGAGAATACAAATGAATGACCCATGATTTATACACATGCTTAACAATTAAAATTAAATAATCATGCTCAGTATTATTTATATTCATCGTATTCACATTGACTTATGGTACATGCCATCTAACAATATTAGATATTTTTATTCACCATACCAAAGTTTTAATCTTTTTTTCAACATTCAAAAAACATAATAGAATATAGTATATGTAAAAAATTACTTATATTTTATTTTTCTATACCATCACAAAATTTTAGGTTTTTCACCACTAAAAAACAAAGTTAAAAGACTATAATCCATGACATATATTTCTTATAAAATAGGTAATAAATAAAATAAATAATCAAGCTAGAATTTATTTATATTTACCATAATTAACACTGAATTATGATTATATAGATGTAAATTTATTCAATATGCTTCTTCTCCATCACCAAAATTTCATCTTTCTTCGTCAGTAAGCCGCAGAGTTAAAAGACTATAAAACATAATAGATGTAAACAATTTCTAAATTTTTCTTCTTCTCCATCACCAAAATTTTTGTTTCTTAACCTCTAAGAAACTAACTTAAGAGAATACAAATGAATGACCCATGATTTATACACATGCTTAACAATTAAAATTAAATGATCATGCTCAGTATTATTTATATTCATCGTATTCACATTGACTTATGGTACATGACATCTAACAATATTAGATATTTTTATTCACCATCGTGAAGATTTAATCTTTTTATCAAAATTCAAAAAACATAATAGACTATAGTATAGGTAAAAAATTACTTCTATTTTATTTTTCTATACCATCACAAAATTTTAGGTTTTTCCCCACTAAAAAACAAAGTTAAAAGACTATAATCCATGACATATATTTCTTATAAAATAGGTAATAAATAAAATAAATAATCAAGCTAGAATTTATTTATTATTACCAAAATTTACATTGAATTATGGTTAATTAGATATAAATTTATTCAATATGTTTCTTCTCCATCACCAAAATTTCATCTTTCTTCGTCAGTAAGCCACAGAG